GACGGCCAGAGCCGACTCGAGGTGATTTAATAATTACTCGTTCGTTGGGCGGGCTGGTGAATGGAGAGGCAGACAAGGCTTAATTGGTTGCAAAACTTTACTTACGCTGCTTGTAGCTGCGACGCTGACGGTCCAGTCATATGAACAACTATGTTAGTTGTTCCAGCTGGCAAGGCTCAGGCTAGCTCATCCGTCCACAAATCAAGCCAGCGGGGAAAGGGTACGTCGAGGATTGCGCTTGGCGACGGGGAGAAGAATCGATAGGTGATCAGTCTATCGATCAGCTCAGCCGCAAGTCAGATCTCTTTAGAGGCACTCTGCAGTGTGCTCAAAGTTCTCCGACTTGGGCGGAAGTCGCACGAAATTTTAAACGGCCAGCAAGCCAATTCCCAGCCGCCATGTAGGAATAATTTAGAACTAGCCAATAGCGGGACACAAATTTGCATTCGAATGGTGGGAACTCTCTTGCACCTGGGTTTTCTGCTGCAACAGAAAACCTTTTACTTTGCAAGAGGCTCTCATGTGGCGGGAATATTCCATCGTGCCAAGGCACCAAAATCACTGGGTTGTGACACAAAGCAGACAGAGTAACTATTGCCTGGCTGAAGGCTGGAGATGAGGCACCTCTGAAACCTCCACTCATGACATATTGCCAGAACTCCAGGAAAGGGCTGGGCCTGGTGTTGCCCTCCCTCTTACTTTTACCTCTGCTTCAGGTTTTATATAGCAAAGGCTCCATGTCTTGATGGTGGAAGAATATGCCTTCAGCCCTGCTGGGCCTGGGAAGTGTGCCTAGTCTTTCCCTTTAATACCTGGGCTGTTCTCCCTCTGTCTGGGCAGGATCCTTGTAATAGGGTGGTGTGAAGCACTAGCTGAAATAGGAAAATAATGTGATTGACATTCATAGTGAAATGGTGCCTAGGCTTGTCTCATGCTGGGCTCTGCACAGACTCCTAGCAAGAAACAGCTGCTTCCCAAGGGAGATTAGTGTCAGCAGAGCTTGGAGCAGCTGTTATTGGGGAGGGGTTGTTGCCTACATACCTAGCTGGGGATTTCCTAGAGGGAGCCATGCTCCTTCCTTCTTGTAGAGACAGCTTGGAAGATTGTACAACCAGAAGTGTATGCTCTGGCTCTTTCTGCTGGGCTTCTGAGTATGCCCTTTTGCTGAGCACTCTCCCTTTGCAAAGAAACTGTTTTCAGCATGGCAGCCTGTAGTGGAAACAGCCATTTCAAAACAACAATTGCTGGTTAAGTTTGCCCAGAGTGGGGAGGTAGACTCTTCCCAGTTAAGGATTGCAGCCATGTTGCCTAACCCCAAGTAGATTGCAGCTGGCACATATTCATTTTGTAGCACTTTGATTGGAGCCTCTACACATGAATAAGACCAAATTTGGAATTGGGGTGGGGGGAGGGTTAGTCTGCTAGGTGTGGTTTCCACCACACTCCAGCTGCTCCAGTTTAGAGTAAGGAAGACCTGGCCTGAATAGAAGCTGTTCCCAGGACTCATGTATATTGCAGCAAAAACAATAGGGTGACCTATATGTAGGGCTCTGAAACCACTAACACTGTACATTTACGTAGAGCACAGCAATAGGAACGCAAGACGTGGGATGGGATGCATTAATTGGGCTGTTTGCAGCATCATAGGGAAGGCTGATTGCTTGCTGCCTTGCTTTCCTTACTTCAGGATTCCACACTAGGGAGGGGAGGTATAGAGCAGGGGAAGGTGGGGTTAGTAGTTCTTCCCTGTCTGATACAGGGCTTGCTGAGCTGTGGAATGTTCATGCATTTAATTAATTTTCCATTTTCTTCTCAGTTCACCCACTCCTCTTTTTTACGCATTGGGCAGCTGAGCAATGTCGATCTTGATGATGATGCAGATGAGCTGGTGAGTGGCACAGAAAGGAATGAGCAGTTATTGTGAGAGCAACCCACAGTTGTCCAGGAGTCTGTAGGTGGTTGCCTTGATGTGGGAGGTGGCTCCCTTCCCAAAGCAGTATTATGGCCCTATTGGAAATCCAGCAATCAGTGCAGGGTGTAGTTCTTCTCTTTGCAATCCTGTCTTGTTACTTTTGATCTCATCCTCCTGTTCCCAACTCCCCCCCATCCTTCCCTACACACATGCACACCCTGCTTCTGCCTAGAAATTGCCATGTGGGAACTCCTGCCAGAGGTAATGTCTCTAGGAAAATTTGGGGTCTATCTGATAATGATGTTTTGGAAAAATTACCTTTAAAAAATGAAAGACTTTTGTGTGTGTCAAAAAAATAAAGACCATCTCCACCCTCCCAGCCCACATGTTACCCAGAGCAGGGGCCTGGGAACTGTCCCATGTGTTTACACACAGGAAAGGTCCCTGCTGAGGCTGTCAGTGGTGCCTGGGATCTGTGGGCCCATGTCAAGGGCAAGAGGGGAACAGTCACCAGTTGCTATTTTGGGTCCAGTGTCTGCTATTCTGTGGCTTGTAGCCACTTCAGTGT